AAGTAGCAGTCTTATAAAAGAGTAAGGCATTTGTACCATAAAGCCTTCCTAGCTCAGAAATGAATGCTATACTCTTCAGCTTGTCAAGGCTTAGAGGGCCCTTGGAAAGTGTAGGATAACTCCTTCGTGAGCCAAGTGAAGAAGGAGGCTCAGAAAGATGTCTAATGTGACAATTTATTAGATCTGCCTGGGGGAGCCTCCTAAAATTTTGACGGAGGTTGTGAATTGATTTCCTAGGTCAGCGTCATGCATATCAATCTGTCCTATAGCTTTCTAAGCAGCTTTCTTCTTTTGGTCTGCCTTTCCAACTTTTGCTAAGAAAGCAAAATTCTTAGAAGGAAAAAAAGGCACACTAAGCTTTAAGGCATTGCAGTTGTCCATAGTTCAGCTACAGGGTAGCCTCCTTGGCTCCAGGGAGTTCTGCTCCAGGTAGGCAATGAACATTTGTTGAAAACCCCAAGACCCTTAGCACTGCTGAAGATGGCAAAGATGTAATAGAGATGGACTGTGTCCTCTACGAGCTTGAAGTCTAGTTGAATAGATGACATAATCCATTTAGCAAACGTTTATTAAGCATTTGTGTCTGTGTGAAGCACTGTGAGAACACAGCAATGATCAAGCTGCAGCCCCAGCTTTCTGAGGAGTTTGCAATGAACGGTTAGGTAACAAATGCCAAACAATTCACGAAGTATAGTATACCATCCCACTGAATGGTATAAACAAATCAGTACTCAGAAAATGGAGGAATCATTCATTAACTTTATATGGAAAGGGAAGAGGCCCCGGATAAGTAAAGCACTGTTGAAGAAGAATACACTAGGAGGACTTGCACTACCTGACCTCAGAACCTACTATGCAGCTGCGGTAGTCAAAACAGCCTGGTACTGGTACAACAACAGATACATTGACCAATGGAACAGAATTGAGAATCCAGACATAAATTCAGCCACCTGTGAGCAGCTGATATTTGACAAAGGCCCAAGGTCCATTAATTGGGGAAAAGACAGTCTTTTTAACAAATGGTGCTGGCAAAACTGGATGTCCATCTGTAAAAAAAATGAAACAGGACCCATACCTCACACCATACACAAAAACTAATTCAAAACGGATCAAACACCTAAATATAAAAGCAAAAACTATAAAGATCATAGAAGAAAAACTAGGTTCCACACTAGAGGCCCTAATACATGGCATTAACAGGCTACAAACCATAACTAACGACACACAAACTCCAGAAGATAAGCTAGATAAATGGGATCTTCTAAAAATTAAAAACACTTATGCTCATCAAAAGACTTCACCAAGAGTGAAAAGAGAACCTACAGACTGGGGAAAAAAATTTGACTATTATAAATCCAACAAAGGTCTTATCTCTAAAATCTACAGGAAAATCCAACACCTCTATAACAAAAAGACAAATAATCCAATTAAAAAACGGGCAAAGGAAATGACACAGATGCTTCACCAAAGAAGACATTCAAGTGGCCAGCAGACACATGAGAAATGCTCCCGATCACTAGCCATTAGAGAAATGCAAATCAAAACCACATTGAAATACCATCTCGCCCCAGCATTACTGGCACGAATCGAAAGAACAGAAAATAACAAATGTTGGAGAGGCTGCAGGGAGATTGGAACTCTTATGCACTGCTGGTGAGAATGCAAAATGGTACAACCATTTTGGAAAACGATATGGTGCTTCCTTAGAAAGCTAGAAATAGAAATACCGTATGATCCAGCAATCCCACTCCTAGGAATATATCCTAGAGAAATAAGAGCCGTCACACAAATAGACATATGCACACCCATATTCATTGCAGCATTGTTCACAATAGCAAAAAGATGGAAACAACCTAGATGCTCATCAACAGATGAATGGATAAACAAACTATGATACATACACACAATGGAGTACTACACAACGATAAAGAACAGTGATGAATCTGCAAAGCATCTCACAACATGGATGAATCTGTAAGGCATTATGCTGAGTGAAATAAGTCAATCACAAAAGGACAAATATTGTATGAGACCACTATTATAAAAACTCATGAAAAAGTTTACACACAAAAAGAACAATCTTTGATGGTTATGAGGGAGGGGTCGGGTGGGATTGAAAAACACTAAACAGACAATAGATAAGTGGTAACTTTGGTGAAGGGTAAGACAGTACACAATACTGGGGAAGCCAGCACAACTTGCACAAGGCAAGGTCATGGAAGCTCCTTAGACACATCCAAACTCCCTGAGGGACCTAATTGCTAGGCTGAGGGCTATGGGGACTATGGTCTCAGGGAAAATGTAACTCAGTTGGCATAACATAGTGTGTAAAGAAAATGTTCTACATTTTACTTTGATGAGTAGTGTCTAGGGTCTTAAAATCCTGTGAGCAGCCATCTAAGATACTCCACTGGTCTCACCCCTTTGGGAGCAAGGGAGAAAGAAGAAAACTAAAGACACAAGGGAAAGATTAGTCCGGAGGACTAATGGACCACAACTACCATGGCCTCTGCCAGACTGAGTCCAGTACAACTAGAGGGTGCCTGGCTACCACCACTGACTGCTCTGACAGGGATCACGATAGAGGAACCTGGAAAGAGCTGGAGAAAAATATAGAACAAAATTGTAACTCACAAAAAAAGACCAGACTTACTGGCCTGGAGAAACCCTGAGAGTATGGCCCCCGGACACCCTTTTAGCTCAATAATGAAGTCACTCCTGAGGTTTACCCTTTAGCCAAAGATTAGACCCATAAAACAGATGAGACTAAAGGGGCACACCAGCCCAGGGACAAGGATGAGAAGGCAGGACAGGTCAGGAAAGCTGGTCATAGGGAGCCAAGGAGAGTGTTGACATGTCATGGGGTTGTTAACCAATGTCATAAAACAGTATGTGTACTGTTTAATGAGAAGCTAGTTCTGTAAACCTTCATCTAAAGTACAATTAAAAAAAAATTCCAATAATAAAAGGAATAAAATGCTTACAAATACTTCAAAAGAAAAAAAAAAAAAAGAAAAGAAAACGGAGTGTCATGGTTTGAATTATGTCCCCCCAAAAATGCGTGTATCAGTTTGGCTGGGCCATGATTCCCAGAACTGTGTGGTTGGCCTCCAATTTGTGATTGTAATTTTATGTTAAAGAGGGTTAGGGTGGGATTGTAACACCACCCTTACCCAGGTCACATCCCTGATCCAGTGTAAAGGGAGTTTCCCTAGGGTGTGGCCTGTACGACCTTTTACCTTACAAGACATAAAAGGAAAGGGAAGCTCACCAAAAAAAAAAAAAAAGGTCAAGAAGGGAGAGGGTTGACATGTTGTGGGGTTGTTGACCACTGTCATGGAAAAGTCTGTGTACTGACTGTTTGATGAGAAACTATTTGTTCTGTAAACCTTCACCTAAAGTACAATAAAAAAAGAAAAAGAAAAAAAAAAGGAAAGGGAAGCAAGCAGAGAAGGGTGACCTCATACCACCAAGAAACGAGCACCAGGAGCAGAGGTTCCTGCGCAGAGAAGCTCCTAGTCCAGGGGAAGACTAATGATGACGAGGACCTTCCTCCAGAGCCAACAGAGAGAGAAAGCCTTCCCCTGGAGCTGATGCTTTGAATTTGGACTGGAAGCCTACTAGACTGTGAGAAAATAAATTTCTCTTTGTTGAGGCCATCCACTTGTGGTATTTCTGTTAGAGCAGCACTAGATGACTAAGACATGGAGGAATCACTATGGGCTGGAATGTCCTGGGAAGGCTTTAAGGTGGTGGTTGGCTTAAGCAAAAACTCTGAATCTTGGCCATTTCTCATATTGATGGAATCTGCTAGGGCTAGGTTCTAGCTTAACGTTACATAGAATAAAGCCCAAACCAAGGTTTCAATGAAGTGTTAATCAATTTCTAAAAATTTAAGGAATCTTATGCTTCTGGTCAAGTTTGTCACTAAAGGCTCACTCTTCAGTGAGTGAAGTGGCTCCCCTCATCCAGCCTTTCTTCCTCTCCAGCTCTGTTCGATTGAGCTGTTCCTCCAGGCTCTAAGACCTAGATGCAGTTACCTCCAGCTGTTCAGCACACTTGTTAGTATAGCAATGCCAATGACATACTTTTTCCTTATTTTTTTAAAGTATTTAACTTTTTGAATAGTAGTAGGTTTACATGGTTGAAAAACCAAAAAGTGTAAAAAATTACTCAGTAAAAATTCTTTTTTTTGACCCTGACTGATCCTGTCTTCTCCCTGCCCAACTACTGTTATTAGTTTGTTATGTATCATTCCAGAGTTTCTGTATGCACATACAAGAAAATATACATAGTCTTATTTTCCCAACATGTTTGTATCACACAATAGCATGATGTACACAGTTTGCTATTTTGCTTTCTTTAGTTAACAATGTGTCTGAAGGATCTTTCCTAACCGTATGTAGAGCATGTTCACATTCTTTTTTGATAGCTGCATAGTACTCCACAATATGGATGTACCATAGTTTATTTAACCAGTTCCCTATTGATAGTCATTTGATTGTTTCTGTCTTTGCTGTTACAGATAATGCTGTAACAAATAACCATACACATATGTCATTCCCATGTTCAAATACTGTATACAACAATGATAATAGTTATAGTGATTTAGTGGTTCTGGTAGGGAAAGAGAAGTATGTATTAAAAATTCTCACGCTGGCAGGTTGTTATTTTCTGAATTTGGATGTTCTATGGGTCACATCGTAACCCAGAAACCTGGAGGTAACCAGATAAATGTGCCTATAATGGCAGATATTAGTTCCTGTATTAGACACCTGTATTATAAATAGACTTAATTTTACAAAACCTTGAACTTTACTTCTAATTGTCTTATACCAGAGTTGTCTGGTTTCAAAAGATGTTTATTTGGCAAGAGGTCTTTGGTGGCACTTGCCATCATTCGACTTGAGCAACTTCATAGTCTTTTAGAACTTGTTCTTCCTGGGGTGCCTTCCAGCCCACTGTGAAATTGTTGAATGCTACTGATTTTGTTTTTGTAGACGGGCCCACCTTCGCTTGTGCCTGGAGAAGTTGAAGGGGCTGGTACCGCTTGGACCGGAATCAAATCGGCACACTACCTTAAGTTTATTAACAAAAGCCAAATTGCACATAAAGGTAAGTGCATCCTTGGGATGCCTTTCTATCTTTGCTTGTCCAGGAAGGGTTTGTCTGTTGTTAGGAAGGACAGCAAATGCATATCTCCAGGACAGACCTCTCCTCTGAGCTCCTCCAGCCTGCCTTTTAGATGAATCACCCGTTGACCCGCTGCCGTCGAGTCGATTCCGACTCATAGTGACCCTATAGGACAGAGCAGAACTGCCCCCATAGGGTTTCCAAGGAGCAGCTGGTGGATTCCAACTGCCAACCTTTTGGTTAGCAGCCGAGCTCTTAACCACTGTGCCACCAGGGCTCCACAAATGAATCACAGGCACCTCAAAATCAGCATGTCCAAAACCCCACTGATTCTTTCTCACCTTCAAGCACCAGATGTTAAATGGTCCCATCCAACTGTCTGTCCAGTTGTACAAGCCAGAATCTTTGACTGCTCCTGCTCCTTCGCCCTCTGTATCTAAGCCGTCTCTAAGACCTAAGTATTTCACAGACCATTTACTTCCATCTTTACCCCATCACCATCTACACAGCACTCCTGAGAGATCACCCTATATCTCTCTGGCCCCTTTCCAATATTCTCTCCATGCTTCCCTAGAACAATCCTTTCAAAGTTCAAATCAGCCTGTCCTACTTAAAACCCTTCTGTGGCTCAGGACAAGCTCTGTGACCAGGCCTGCCCAAGGCTCTGCCTGGCCTGGCCCTCACCTGCATCTGCAGTGTCATCATGCACCAGATGCTCCCCTTGCTCTCTCTGCTCCTGCCCTTCGTTCAGTCACTTGCATTTGTCATGTTCTCTCTTAACACAGGACTTTGTACATATTGTTTCCTTGGCTTGGTGTGTTTTTCCCTCCCTTCTTCACCTAGTTAACGTCTCCTCAACCTCCAGATCTCAGTGCAAGTAGCACTAGCTCAGGAAAGCCTTCCTTACCTTCCTGACTAGGTCACCTTCTTCCTGTAACAGATGGTCCTGACATTGTTTATCTCCCTGTTAGCACTTGTCACAGTTGAAATCTGAACATGGTTTGGTGACTGGTTGTCTCCATCATTAGACTGTAGATGCCGTGAGGGAAAGGCCTGGGTCTTTGTGCTTACCTTCTATCCTCAGTACTTCACAGGGTGTCTGACACAGACTCGGCCTCAATGTGTAGCTTGAGTAGCAAAGAGTAAGGTGAATTGTATTCAAAGTCCTGAGAGCTGCAGCCAAAGCCACAGTGTAGAATGTTTACATATTCATATCTTGGCAGGACAAATACCAGTTTAATTATGGTTAGTAGCCTGCACACATGATAATTCTAGGAAAAAAGAACCTCTATTTAAAGCAAAACAACCACAATTAAACAATCTTCTTAATTATCTGAAGAAAATGAGAAGCAGGGGACAGATTTGTAAAAACACGTGGTCTGTGAAAATGTGCTTTCTAAGCTCTTATGTTGGACAATTTGGAATCGCAGCTTCAAAAGGAACTATTATTTCCTGCTAACAAACAGAAGTTAATTGAGATTTGGCATGACACAAAAAAGTGCTGATGTAATTGGAACATGTACTTGAATGAACGTCATTTTAGATGGAAGTGTCTTTCTTAAGCTTCCGTCACATGCAGTTTTCTTATTCAGTGATCAGGTGCTCAGGGTATCAGCAGACAAGGGGGACCAGGTCTGGGTTCCTGCCTGCAGTCTCTTTGATATCATAACTGAGGGGGTCCCAAGATGCCAGAGTGTCAGCGCACACCCCCAGAGTCCTGTGATAAAACAAGTACCCACAGTGTTTGATGCTGAAGAAGCCAGATGAAGCCAGCAGTCACTGGCCAGCAAACTTCCTGTCTCTCAGAGGAGCTCGGCGAGTGACACACCCAGTGGCTCCAGAGGAAACCTGGCATAGTTCATTGCTAGAGAGGAAGAGGCAGGGTTATTGCCAATTTATAAGTCCACCTGTGGGCTCCAACAACTACCTCTTTACTTGCAGAAACTTGAAGATTGTGACAGAAAAGCCATTCACCAAATCGACCAGCTTCAGCGAGAGCAGCGGCACCTGAAAAGGCAGCTGGAGAAGCTGGGCATTGAGAGGATACGGATGGACAGCATCGGCTCCACGGTCTCCTCGGAGCGCTCAGACTCTGACAGGGGTAAGACCTCTGCCTGAGTCCTGCACCAGCCTCCTTACCTCTCCTCTTCCCTCTGCCACCTGCCAGTGCTTCTCACAGGAGGCAGAGCATACAAGAAAATAAGAAACTGCTTGTGATTTAGAAAATGTGAGTAGTGGGATCTCCAGGAATGAGTCCCTCTTTCCTATGCTCAGGGTAATAGCATCCAAAGAAGAGTGCAATATGGGTTGGCTTGAGTTTCAGCCTGAGTTTTCTGGCCAGCTGTAGCTGAAAGCAGCCTAAGAATGCCCTCACCGATTTCTTTCTCTCTCTTGTCCTCCCCACAGAAGAAATTGATGTTGACGTTGAAAGCACAGACTATCTCACCGGGGATCTGGACTGGAGCAGCAGCAGCGTGAGTGATTCTGATGAGCGGGGCAGCATGCAGAGCCTGGGCAGTGATGAAGGCTACTCCAGCTCCAGCATCAAGAGAATAAAGCTCCAGGACAATCACAAGACGTGTCTCGGTCTATAAGAGATAGTGGTCGCTGTGGCTGCCTCCTTGATGGTTCTCCCTGTCGGATCTTATTAGGTAGTGTATTGGACCTTCCCACAATCCCCTTGCACATCAATTTCAGTGTACCACCTTTACCAAAATCAGCTTTGTAAAGGGTCTGAAGGAAGTGCTTAGGATTGTGGGTTTCTGAATGCATCGACTAGCTTCACCTTCTCTCCGTAAAAATTCGTCTCTGAGAGACTGTACATTCCAATCAATCTGAAGCACCCAAGAGTTCTTAGACCGAATAACCAACTTTCACATCTCAGCCATTTCCCCTCTTCTTTCCTGCCTTCATGTAGTCCACCAGACCTTTCTTAAAGTTTTCTGGCTAACTGTGTTACTTGCCTAGCAAAAATGTCCAAATGTGTCTTGTGTTTAGGAAACTTGAAGGAAACAAACTTTTAAAGGTGAGATCCTGATCTCTGAACTCCAAAGTAAGCTTTGAAGGCAGCATGTAAGAGCACTTAACCATGGCCCTCACCCCAGTGAGGAGCCAGGAATACCTCCAGAAAACAGACCCTTCACACACACCCCAGGCTAATTCCCCGATCTGCGTGTGGAGGGTAGCAGTATTTCTCATTTTCAATGGACATCTTGATAGCATGTCTTTAGGGTTGCACAGCTTGTACAAGTTCCACTATTGTTTGTTCTCACAAACACAACGGTACAATCTATTTTTGTGCAATGTTCTTGGGACCTTGCTGGGTACTGCTATCCCAAGACACATTTTTCCCGCAAAGTTTGTTGATGCTACTTGTCTCTGGAACATTCTTTTTTTTCCTACCTCAGAGATAAATGAGATCTCCATTTCCCACTTAACACAAAGTGATTATGCCTCTTTTTTTTCCCCCCAAATAAGTGACATTTGGTCCAATTCTAATCTCTTTTCCTATTTAACTTTCAGCAATAACTGAGCTTTGGCACTAGCTGAGCTAGTGTCCATCATCAGTGAAAGGAAAAGTCCACATTTCTACTCTCTCTGTTGCGAGTGAACAGGAGGGGATGGTACAGTGTTAACTAGAATTCCTCTCCTTGTCGGTGATTTTTGGACATACCCAGAAACTTCTTTATGGAGGCTTCTGGGTTGATAGTTTAACAGGCTGATTTTTCTTTTGGTTATGATTTCTCCCTTAAGTGGTCTCCCACTTTGTAGCATTTTTATTTAAGCTAAAACAGAGCACATGTATATGTACATAAGACACATGAAATCTATAAATACTATTTATTCATTTTATATAAACTAATGTAATGGAAAATAAATTCTTATGACTTTGTGCTTTTATAGATGTTCTAGAAACTTTGTATGTAGGTATCTACAAAATTGGTTCATTCCCCCTTAACTATTTTTGCATTCATACTTTTGAGGTCTTGATGTTTTCAGCCTCTAGCTAATCTTTTTCATTGAATTTGGACCATTTGTAAAATCTGTGACGCTGAAACAGAGTGTGTGTCACAAAGTGATTAGAACATTCCTGAAATCCACAGATACACTGCAATCTAAGGGCTCGACGGCTGAATCAGTAGTGGGCAGCCCCCGTGTGCTCCCCTGCTGGCCCGCAGTCTCTCACACACCACAGCCTCACAACTCATCCAGCACCTCCACCTTCCATGCATCTAAAGCAAAACTTCAAGCTCCTTCTATAAATGAAGAGCAATGTAAACAAAACCAGATTCCTTTTTTTTTTTTTTAATGATTCTTTAATATGTTTTAAACATTTTTAATTGGAAGTCGTGGATTCCTAAATGATTCCAAAGTCATCTGTAATTCTTCTGTTTTTGTTCCGTTTTTTCTTCATTTCAGCTTTGGGTGGGGTGGGGGGAAGGGCAAGTGACAAAAAGGATTTTTTTATTGCTGGAATCTTTTCCAATTACCAGCTGAAGATTTGCACTGAAATACAACTTGTATGCCTTTTGCATTTTTTAAGCCTGCTTCCTGAATTTAAGCAGAGTGATAGTGTTCAAAGAGCCAGCTCAGCCTGTAACATGTTTGAAAAAGTTGTATCTGCACTTTGAGGTCCCTTTTGAATGCCATTCGCTAGACCTCTCAAGCATTTTGTTTAATTGCTACATTCAAGCGCCTCACAAGTCCACGCGGATGGATGCCGTGTGGCATCGAGAACTCAAGACTTTGGGAAAAGCTTGTGGTCTTGCGTCAGGGGAGGGAAGGGAACAAAATTTGTGTACCTGTTTGTTTAATTTAGAAATAAGGCATCTGAGAGATGCCATTATTTTCTGTGTTTTAATTGTTGTGCCTTTGAGTTAAACTGCATTTTTGTCTTTTGGTTGAAATATGAAATGTACTGTCCCAATATAAAACAGTAATTATTTGACCTTTGCACTGTTTGTCTGGTCCTTTTCAATTTGATTGCATATAAATGTGGAACTTAAGAGATCTCTGTATTTTTAATACACTTGTGATAAACTGACACCAAGGTTAGACAATTACTTTCAAAGCTCCAGGTAGCCCACGTCAGCATGCGAGGCAGGCTTCTCTCTAACCAAAACTGTAACTTCAGGACCAGCAAACTCAGCCCAAGGCAGCTAATCCCCTTTCCCAAGTGGCTGATCAGCAGCCCCGATTTGCCAATCTGTCCTCTCTCATTCACTGATGCACCAGCGTGACTGTTAAGAGCTATAGAGTTGAGGTTTTTTAGTTTGTTTTTGTTTTTTAAACAAAATGAAAAACCTTTCTATGAGGGTTGTTGCGGGGAGGAGATGGGGATGGGCAAAGATATAAACCCCAGCCTTTAAGACTTTGACAACTGTACGTAAATGTAGATGTGTATAAATATAGGCACATGCATATTTTTATGTGAAAGTTGATTTTAAAATAACTAAAAAGAAATCTGAACTGCACTCCTGTTGCTACCATTGCAATGCAAATGGGAAAAAAGTCTCTAGTCCAATTTAATTTCATGCCATGAGAAGATGTATATGTGAGCTGCTTCTGTTCACATCCCGGAAAACGGAGCCTTCCATCCCGTGTTGGCTTTGAATGGCGAGCTAGCACCCAGGGTATCCTTATTCTGGTTTTCTTTTGCGAAGCAGAGATCTTGATTCTTCAAGGTGCTGAGAGCTTCCTGCCGGCTCCTCTCTCTAGTCACACATCTAGTGTTCGTTTAGTCATTCAGAGAGCATGAAACGTTTGAGCAGAACTCAGATTCTCTCTCCTAATCCAAAACCAAAATCATTTCAGTGTCAGTTCGGAATTGAGCATTAAGTAGGCCCTGATCCTGCAATTGAACACACAAGTGTTGCTGTTGTTGTTTTTTAAGGTGGGCATTCTCCTTTAACCTCCACTTTTTTCAAATGAAACAAAGGGTCCTGACCTGGGTTTCCAATGGGCCTCTCTGAAGTGGCCAAGAGCAAATCCCTGGGTCATGTAAACTAAGGAGAATTGTGATGCTCATCGTAACCATCTGGCAATATCTTAGGGCTTTTTTTCTTCTTGCCTCTCCTATATACACACATTATTTAGGTTCTTATACCATACTGTATTGGTAAGAATTCCACTTTCATTGCGCTTTATAATCTGTTTATTCCCCCGAATCTGAGTCTTTTCTGTTCTTATCTCCCCAAGTTTCTTTGTCTTCCCTCTTTACCCTCCCTGTGTGTTGAACACCAGGTGGTAAAAGGCTGAAAGGCAATTTCCTGCATGTCAATCTGTTATTTTTCCACGTCTAACTCTTTGATGCGGCATGTTTAGGTAGCTGGCTACTCCTGATTTAAAAATCCTTCCTGAGAGAAGACGACCCAAAGACCCTTTTAGATGAGGTAATTTTTTCTTATTCTACGTGATTGGATCTCTGTAGACTGTACAATGTTTTGTTTTCAAAGATAACAGGGAAGGTACAATAACATGGTTTATCATGGTTTTTTATTATCAATATTTATTACATGGATGGTTTTCTTATACTGTATTCTTCTGAAAGAAGAAATAATTGACCAGCACTGCTAGATTGAACTATTGGATGGCTGAAGAAATTGAGTATCTTTGTCTTCTGAAAATCATAAAATGAGAATTAGTAAGGCACCCAATTCTAAGATTTAGCCAGACTTTTGATTTTGATTTTTTATTTTACTGGGGGTAGGGAGGGTTCTTCCTTTTAGCGTTTTCCTGAGAACCAAACTTGCCTTTACCCCTTGTCCCTAGAATTGGTGCTTTTTGAACATTACTGTTAACCATCGATTTTGGGTGAGGGGGCATCTTCCTAATGGCAAACGCAGCCTAAACGGGAGCAGCAGATGAGAGAGTATGAAATTTTGTCCAGATGTTTATTTCTTTATGTAAATACTATGCCATTGTAAATCCTGTGTCAAGACCATAGAGAATGGTGCTTTTTACTACAGTTAGCATATGCGTTTTTAGAAACTACATGTTTTAGAGAAACTTTGCTGTGTATTTGTAAACTTCTGTACTGTTCAACCGTTAACAAATAATAAATTATTTCATTATTAAAGAAATTTTGTTTTCCTGAGGTTTTGTAGCCCTAGTTTAACCTTTCATGGGTTTTACTTACAGAAGTGGATTCATCGAATTTCTTTTCTCTTTTAATTTCGTGAAAAACTCACTGGCCATATGTTTCCAGCCCTTGGAGTCTGTGACAAGAATTTTGAGCCCGTTTGTTGGTCAACATTAGTAACAGTACCATCCTCTCCACAGCCTTGTCGCCACACAGGCCCATTTCACCTGCTCCTTCACAGCTCTGGGGCTAGCTCTTCATGATAGACACTTCCCACAAGGCAAGCATAGTGCTGGGGCTGCAGGGGCCAACAGATTTGCCCATCCTTTGAGCAACCCATAGTCTGATGGGAAAGATAGAGACACACTCATACATACACACAATTTAATACAGTATGGTAGATTGTGGAATAAAGCTGCATGGGGAAGTGCTATAAAAAATCATAGAGGTGGTGGCGTTTGAGCTGGGCCAAGGAGAAAGAGTAAGTGTTTACTGGGGAAGGAACCTTGCAGGAAAAGAGAACACCCAGTGAAACGTGCAGGTTTTCAGGAAAGGGAAGAGCTCAGTAAGGTTGGGTGTGGCCTCAGAGCTGGGAGCCTGCAGTGTGTACGTGTTGGGGGAGGGAGAAGGCCTTATGATGAAAGACCCTGAGTATCGCACAATTCACCGAGAGGAGAAAAGGAAGCGGGTTTAGGATTTTAGTTCTTTTACATATTAATTCCTTTGGCTAATTTACATCTATTTGTTCATTTAACAAATACGGACTGTGCGCCTGCTCTTGGACAGGCTTTGTTTTAGAGCTGAAGACACATCAATAAACTAAACACACAAACATCCCTGCTCTCATGGAGCTGCCTGTCTAGTGGGACTCTGACTTTAGAGCTCAATTCCTCATCTGGTCCCATTTGGTGAGCCAGTGTCTGCTGCTACCTGCCTGCCTTACAGTCCTGTGTTCTTGCTCTCCCAAGAGAGCACTTCTGTGGAGTCGTAGGGAAGGAAAAGGATGTCTTTCTCCTTGACCAGTGACTTCTTATTCTAAAAACCATCTAACACTTTGTAGAGGTTTTAACAGTGCCTTTAGGAGTTACCTGATGGCATTCAGCCAGCAGGTCTTACAAAAATGACCTTTCTATGATTCTACTTTGGAAACATGGCCTAGCTCTTCTACGTTCTCCAAAAAGCGGGGTCAGCATGCTGAACCCTTCTAAGATGTGCGCGTTTTAGATCCAACTCTGTGGACAGGCTCCATACTGAACCCACCAAATAGTGACTTCTTAGCAACATCAAAGAAAGCTAGGTTCTGCCAAAGCATCAGGATCCCTCGTCTACTGTGGCTGAGGAGAGGAAGTTCTGAACCGTAGATAATTATAAAGACAGTCCTTTCATAAAGATAGCCCCCCCACAGGATGACAAATCTTATTTTCAAGGTTTCCTGACTTCGTTTGTTCACAGTAGCCTGAGGAAAACGTGCCCTTACTTATTTATGCTCTATGGGTCCTTGAGATGGCTGTCATATTAATGGTCAACTAACATTTACTGAGTGCTTACTGAGAGCTGGGTGCTGCACCATAGTGCCTCAGTGATCCCTCACATCAACCCTGGCAGGTGAGTGCTCTCGTTATCCCCATTTTACAGATGAGGAAACTGAGGGAGAGAAAGGTGAGGCATTTTGCCCAAGTCCACAGAGCTCAGGAGTGGTAGGACTAAGAATCTCAGCTGTCTGACTCCAGAACCCCACACTCCCTTGCCTTAATTTGTGTCAAATTGTAATTTTCCATTTACAGCGTTTTTAGGACTTTGAATGCAGCTCCCCATTTTCTATGGAGGGGCTCAGTTCCAGTGTAAGGAGCAGAAAACTGTGAACCCACAAGACACTTGTTAAATCATTGCCCTCGCTTCAATTTTAACTTTCCTTTGTGCATACTGTGAAGAATAACCCCCCATTCCTGATGCTCCTGGGGGAATTGCGGCAGTAAAACAGCATACTCTTAGAGGACGACATCCCCTGCAAAGGCTGGTGAAGGCATTCTTTCTGTACCGTGTCTTTTGGGTTGTGGACCCTGTGACATCACTGTTTATTCAGCCAGTATTTACTGAACATGACTTCCACTTAGGCTTTGGAGTCCCCGTTATCAATGGCCACTTCAGTCTGCCTCTTAGTCACTATGGCTGAGACAAGGAGGGACACACCAAACTCTCTGCCAAGAGACTCTGGAATACAGACTCCTTGTTCCCACTTGGGTCTCCTCATCAATAAAGGACATTTGACTTCAGTGGCTGAGGGTCCCAGCAGCAGGGGCTCCACAGGAAGCATTGTTCAGGGATCGGCTCAGATCGGGTGGCAAGTCAGCTCTCTACCCACCTGTCCCACGTGGAATTCTGGAGCCAGTTTGTTTTGGGATGTCCCGACCAGGTGAACTGGGGCTGCTGACCACCAGCAAGAGGAAGAGGAAGCTGGTTGTTGGAGAGAGTGGCTAGCTCCCCTTTCAGGCCGACAGAAGGGCAGGCTGTCCCTGGCTGGAGCTCCTGGGAGCCTCATGATGTGGATGAAGGCGCATATCTAGGGAAGACGGGGCTCAGGATTTAGGGAGACGGCTGGGCCATCCAGTCCAAAGGGATGGGTAAGGCAAGAGCCAGCAGAAACCTGGAAGGGTATGCACCCAAGACTGGGCCAACAGAGTTGGTGGCGGGGATGTTGGGGCTTGAGAGGTTCACTGAGGCCAGGAGGGAGGGAGGAGCCTTTTATAGGGTGCTCGTGCTGCTAACCAAAAGGTTGGCAGTTCAAATCCACCAGCTGCTCCTTGGAAACCCCACGGGGCAGTTCTACTCTGTCCTATAGGGTTGCTATGAGTTGGAATTGACGGCAACGGGTTTAGTTTGGTTTTGGCCTCACCTGGGGTCAGCGTGATGACAGGCAAAGCAGGGAGTTCTGGGTCAGGCATATATCTGCCTTCAAGGAAGTCTGTGGGCCTGGAGAGCAGGCACCTGGGAGGGCCTAGGGGCCAGGAGGAAGAAAGAAGCACCAGCCCACCATCTCTGCTGGCTGCGCCAGTGTCCAGCCTGGTAACACGTGGAGGCAGTCCCCAGCCCTGCAAGGGGGCCAGTGGGCATGGGAGACCCAGCATCTGCTGGAAAGTTCATTTAGCTAAAAACAGAGTGTGGGACAAACTTGTGCCTTGCCTTGCTGATATCCCATCCCCCAGAAGGTAGGAGATGCTGTTGTTAGGAAGAATTGGAGCTACTTCTGACCAACAAAGATGAATGGGCTGGCCAAGGGGAAGTGAGAGAAACCTCAGGGGCAGCGCCCTGTGTTCAGATACCCCGCAGGTGGTCCCGGGTGGTGATCACAAGCACAGACTCTGGCTAGATGGACCCAGGTGTCAATGCTAGCTCCACCCTTCACTCTCTGTGTGACCTGGGGCAAGGGTCTTGAGCTCTACTTTCCTGATCCATAAAATGAGGCTAATAACAGTACCTACTTCTCAGGCTGTTGCGGGGAGGGGAGGAATTACATGAGATAAGGTATGGATAAAGCTTAGTCTTAGGCTGGGCAGGCAGGAAGCACTCAATACATATGAGCAATTGTCAGTATTTTACTAGCCATGGAGAGACAGTTTGAGCTCAGCCAGGCACGTAAGTTAGATTTTCAGAAGGCAAAGTTCCAACGTTCAGGAAAGAAAGAAGCCTGGAAGGGAAAATTACCCTAGAGGGTAGAGAAGTGTTCAAGCATGTCATTCTGACTGTGCTACTTAGACAACAAATAGTAGGCAGGAAGTGGTTAACTGAAAGGGGGAACAGGGAAGATGGTGACTCAGGGACAGAACGTGGCATGGACAGTGGGGGTGAGGGGAGTATTCCAGGTGGCACATCACCTGGGTGCTATTCAGAAAGTTAAAAAAAAGCAACCCATTGCCATCACTTCCAACTCATAGAGACCCTATAGGACAGAATAGAACTGTCCCATAAGGTTTCCAAGGAGCGGCTAGTGGATTTGATCTGCCGACCTTTTGCTTAACAGCTGAGCTCTTAAACACTGTGCCACTAGGGCTCCAAAGCAAATCCTGAAAGCCCTCCAGCCCTGAGGGCAGCTCAGTAGCTCCCCTCAAAGAGAAACCAGGCAACACAGGGGCAGCTCAGAGAGAGACCCTTGCATGCATCTCCCATGCCTGCATTTTGCAAGGATCTCATCAAAAGGCTGCAAAATGCCTTAAGTTCCAGCATTTGCAGGGGTCTTTCCAACAGCAAATTCAGAACAACAGTAGCTGGCGCTCTAGCCAGACATCAATAAAGACGCCACGTCTCAAGTTGGGCCAACTCTCTGCAATTTTGACTGGCAGGTCAAAGAAGCTACTGGTCAAGTGCAGACCAGCACAGGGCATGGAACAGGAGGAGCTCAGAAGAGGCCTCAGTGACAACAGATGATCAGGACAGGGTCTGGGTGCAGGTACTGTTTTCTCTTCACCACACTAAACCCACTGCTGTCGAGTTGATTCCAACTCATAGTGACCCCATAGGGTTTCCAAGGCTGTAAATCTTTATGGAAGCAGACTGCCACATCTTCCTCCCGCAGAGTGGCTGGTGGTTTCAAACCACTGACCTTTCAGTTAGCAATTGAGTGCTTTAACCACTGCACCACCAGCGTTCCCTTCACCAAACTAAGATTCTTTAATGCCAGGCAAGCAATTCTTTCAGAACTCAGTGCAGGAACCCCATCCTTTCCCCTGAAGAACCAGAAAAGCTTTCTCAGGGAGACAGTGAATCATTAAATGGATCATCTTTCTCTTCTTGCTTCGGCTGCCAGGAAGCTCAGAGCTAAGTTCACACCTCACCATTAGTAATTATGAGAGACCTTGTGATTGGCATATTTGTGTCCTAACTTCTTTTCTCTGACCTTGATTTTTACTTAAAATGTTTTCTATTTTAATATATGTGATTTTTGGAAGTCATTTCAAATCCACCTTTGCAGGGAACAAGAGGATTCTGTCGTATAGGAGCTCAGCT